AATTAACATTATTAAAATGCCCTTACTACCTAAAACAATCTATAGATTCAGTGCAATTTCTATTAAAACACCAATAGCATATTTAACAAATCTAGAAAAAATATTCCAAAAATTTATATGGAACTTAAAAAAGATCTCTAATACTCTCAGCAATCTGAGAAAGAAGAACACAATTGGAGGTATCACAATACCTGATATCAAACTATACTACAAGGGATTGTAATCAAAACAGCATGGTACTGGTATAAGAACAGGCATATATAGATCAATGGAATTGAACAGAGAGCTCAGAAATCAACCCACGCCATTATGGTCAATTAATATTTGACAAAGGAGGCAACATACAATGGGGTAAAGACAGTCTCTTCAATAAATGGTGTTGGGAAAATTGGATAAGTACATACGAAAAAAAAAAAAAATGAAACCACTAACTTACACCATACAGAAGAATAAATTCAAAATAGATAAAAGACTTAAATGTTTGTAAATCACTAAACTATAAAAATCCTAGAAGAAAACATAAACAGTAAAATCTCAGACATCTCTTGTAGCAATGTATGTGCTGATATGTCTCCTAGGTTAAGGGAAAAATAAACAAATGAAACTGTATCAAACTAAAAAGCTCCTGCACAACAAAACAAACTACCAACAAAGTGAATAGGGAACCCACTGTATGGAGAACATATTCACCAATGATACATCTGACAGGGGGTTCATTTCCAAAATATATAAAGAACTTACACAACTCAACACTAGGAAGACAAACAGTTCAATTAAAAAATGGGCAAAAACCTTGCCCTAGCTGGTTTGGCTTAGCAGTTAGTGTCAACCTGCGGACTGGGGAGTCCTGGGTCTGATTCCCGCTAAGGGCATGTACCTCGGTTGCATTTCATCCCTGGCCCTGGTTGGGGTTGTGCAGTGGCAGCCAATCGATGTCTCTCTCACTTCGATGTTTCTCTCTCTCTTCATCTCTCTCTTACCCGTTCTATCTGAAGGTAAATGCAAAAAAAAAAAAAAAAGGCAAAAACCTGAATAGAAACTTCTCCAAAGAGGACATACAGGTGGCCAATAGACATATGAAAAAATGCTCAACATCACTAATCATCAGAGGTGCAAATTAAAACTGCAGTGAGATATCACCCTACACCTGCCAGAATGACTACCATCAATAAACCAACAAATAAGTGCTAGCGAGGATGTGGAGAAAGGGGAACCCTCACGCATTGTTGGTGGGAATGCAGACTGGTGCAGCCACTATGACAAACAGTGTGCAGTTTCCTCAAAAAATTAAAAATGGAACTGCCTTTTGACCCAGTGATCCCACTTCTCAGAATATATCCTAAGAATCTCAAAACACCAATTTGGAAGTATTTATGCACCCCTATGTTCAGAACAGCATTATTTATAATAGCCAAGATCTGGAAACAGTCCAGATGCCCAGCTATAGGTGAATGGATAAAAAAGCAGTGGTACATTTACACATGGAATAGTACATAGCCATAAAAAGGAAGGAAATCTTACCTTTTGTGACAGCGTTGATGGAACTGGAGAGTATTATGCTAAGTGAAATATCAGAGAAAGACAAATACCATATGATCTCACTTATATGTAGAATCTAATGAATAAAATAAACTGACAAACAAAATAGAAACAGAGGCATGGATACCTGAAACAGATTGACAGCTGTTAGAGGGAAGGGGTTTGGAGGACTAGATGAAAGAAAGTGAAGGGATTAGCCAAATAAAATATATGCATAACCCATAGACATAGACCACAGTGAGGTGATGGCCAGAGGGAAGGGTGGGGTGGCCGGCTGGGTGGAAGCAAGAAAATGGGGGGGGGGTAATCTGTAATAGTGTCAACAATATAAGAAAAAATTATAACATCTGTGTCTATGAAGTCCAATGACTAGGCTTCCTTAAGGATTGTTTCTATTGATTTTTTCCCCCATTCCCCTATATATGGGCCATAATTTCCTGTTTCTTTGCATGTCTCTGTTTTTTTTTTTTTTTTTTAAATCTGAACATTAAAAATAATAGCGTGTGAGCTCTGGGAATGAGATTCTCCCCTCTTCCCAGGATTCTCCCCTCTTCCCAGGGTTTTTTTTCTTTTCTTTTTCTGTTTGTCATAGTTGTTATTGTTTGTTTAATAACCTTTCTAAACTAATCCTGTAAAGTTTGTATTCTTTGAGTGCCATTGGTTAGATTTATGTTCAGCAAATGTTTGAACAGAGATTTCCTTAAAAGCTTGGACCAACAAATATCCCAAATTTTGCCAAAGGACTGTTTCTTAGGGCATGCCTTTAACACTCAGCTAGATAGTTGACAACTGAGCCTTAGCCTTCAATTCCTGTTTGTGCAGATCCTCAAGATCTGACTGAGGTAAGAGCTTAGGGCCTTTTCAGGTCTTTACTGTATTTACTTGCAGCCCTGTGCATGCACATGGCTTTCTATATTTCCAGGAATATGTCAGAGCTTTTCAAAAGTCTTTAGGACATCTCATTTACAAGATGTATTCCTAAAGTTTTTTTTGATCTAGCATTTGCCCCAATTATTAATCCTTGCCTCAGGGAACTACAAAGTTAAAACACTTGGCCTGTAATCATTTTTTGAAAAATGCTACTCCCTACCTCACACACACCAATGAGAAAGCTTTTTGTCCTGAGTGAGCTCTGAGTCAGGTAAAAAATAAACTGCCTTGCCCTGGCCAGTTTGTCTCAGCGGTTGGAGTGTCGGCCTGTGAACCAGAGAGTCCCAGGTTTGGTTCTTGCAGTACCAAAAATAAATAAATAAATAAAAATTATAAACTGCCTTGTGAGATCTTCTAGAGAATCACTGTACACATCAAATAATGACAACTCTTTGGGAGTAAATGTTTAAAAGAATCCCCAGTTCTGTTCTGCTCTGTCTGGTGGCTGCCAGGCTGGACCAGGAATGTGGGTTTTTTTTTTTTTTTTTAATAGGTTTTTATTGATATCTTTAGAGAGAGGAAAGGAGAGAGAGAAACATCCACACGAGAGAGAAACATCAATCGGCTGCCTCCTGCACACCCCCTACTGGGGATTGAGCCCACAACCTAGGCATGTGTCCTAACTGGGAATCGAACCAGGACCTCTCATTCCATGGGACAATGCTCAATCCACTGAGCCACACTGGCTGGGCTGGGCTGTTTGTTTTTTAAGGGTTATATGGAGCTGGAGAGCAGGGGATGGGACAAGGAAAAGTTAAGACCCCAGAAAGTTTGCTGTTCTTACAGATGTTCAGCCACTTAAAAAAAAATAAAATCTCTAGGTTATGGCAAGCTTTGGTTAATTCCAGAGGTCTGAAAAAGCTGTTACCATGTTTATCATTATTTTCTTTGTGGTATGGAAGAGTGAATTTTTGGAGCTTCTTACTCTGCTATTTTTGCTGATGTCACTGACATTTTTAAAAAGACTTTTTAAAAATTATAAAACTTAAAAAGTAGTATGAAGACAGACAAATGGCCAAGAGACATATGAAGAAATGCTCAACATCACTAAAAATCAGAGAGATGCAAATTAAAACAACAATGAGGTATCACCTAACACCTGTCAGAATGGCCATCATCAACAAATCATCAAACAAGTGTTGGAGAGGGTGTGGAGAAAAGGGGACTCTAGTACACTGCTGGTGGGAATGCAGACTGGGGCAGCCACTATGGAAAACACTATGGTGTTACCTCAAAAAATTAAAAATTGAACTTCCATTTGACCCAGTGATCTCACTTCTAGGAATATACCCTAAGAAGCCTGAAACACCAGTCAAAAAGAATACATGTACCCCCACGTTCATAGCAACACTATTTACAATAGTTAAGATCTGGAAACAGCCCAAGTGTCCATCAGTAGACTAATGGATAAAAAAGCAGTGGTACATATACACAATGGAGTACTGTGCAGCTGTAAGAAAGAAAGATCTCTTATCCTTTCAGACGACTTGGAGGGACCTGGAAAGTATTATCCTACGTGAAATAAGCCAAGCAGAAAAAGACAAATACCACATAATCTCACTTATTTGTGGAATATAATGGATATAATAGTGTGAGGAATAGGGTAGACCCAGAAACATGAAAGTAGTGTACAGACTGACAGCCCTCAGAAGAGGGGGTGGTGGGGAGAGGGAAGAGATAAACCACAGAACTTTATATGCATGTACACATAACCAATGGACATGGACAACAAAGCAGGGGACTGGGTGAGGGGGAATGGGGAAGAGGGTGTCAATGGAGTAAAAATGGAGAAACATCTGTAACAAAAATAAAATAAAGTAATATAGAATAACAAACATTGACTAATATGAATTACTTTATCAAAAAAATTGGCAAACCTATTTTCTTATAAATCAGTAAGGATTTTTGTTGAGAGAGCAATACTCACTCAGTTCTTTGGTCTTAATAATTGCTAGATAAATTAAAGTCCTTCTTAAGATTGTTGATTGCTAGAACTATAGTGTCTCTTTCTCTTCCTCTCCTTCTTTCCCTCTTCCCCCTCTAATATCTTCTTCAGTAAGTTCAAGGGAAAGAGAAAGTTTACTATTCCATATATTTTTTAAAAATTTATAAAAGTTTTATTAACAAGAACATCTAAAATAAATTCTTATCTGACGTTTTTTTTTTCCTCACCCAAGGACATTTTTCCACTTTTTGTTCAGATAGAGTGGGAGGGAGAGAAAGGAAGAGAGAGAGAGAAACATCAACGTGAAAGGGACAAATCTAGTGGCTGCCACCCGCACCACCAACCAGGGCCGGGGACAAACTGCAACCGAGGTACATGACCTTAGCAGGAACCGAACCCGGGTCTCTCTGGACCACAGGCCGACGCTCTAACCGCTGAGCCAAACTGGCCAGAGCTTATCTGACATTTATACTTCATATACAGGCCAACAATAATGGAGTGTTATTGATTACTAAAGACTCAACTTGCCTTTGTTAATAACATGTTTTATTTGATGACATAATGTATTGTTTTTCTTTTTGGATAGGCATATACTGTGAAGACACCAACAAAACTAAAAATTCAGCAAAGAGAAAACAAGAATGCAACCATTGAAGAAAGTACTAAAAAGAGAAAAATGGTCTTTGAGTTTGATATTAATTCGGATAGTTCAGAATCTGCTGATCTTTTGGTAAACACATTGTAAATAATCAACATTGTTTGTTTACATTATTGTCTATTTCTTGATACATATGTATGTGTTCATAATATCTATCAATGCAATACTGAAATACAGTAGAACTTTACTATAATAGAACCCTATGTTTTTACAGCATTTTAAAGAAATTAGGGTTCAAATAATTTCTCTAAATTTCAGAAAACATGACATATTAAAGTACTTGATATAGCCGGGCCAGTGTGGCTCAGCAGATTGAGCGTCATCCCATGGACTTAGAGGTCCTGGTTCGAATCCTGGTCAGGGCACATACCTGGGTTGAGGGTTCAATCCCTGGTCAGGGCTTATATAGAAGGCAACCCACTGATGATTCTGTCACATTGATGTGTTTCTCTCTCTCTCCTCTCCCCCGCCCCCCTGGAATCAATAAGCATATCTTTGGGTGCTGATTGAAACAAAGAAAGCTTAGGTGAATATTTTTAATATTGCTGCAGCCAAATTTTTTATTCAGGGACCTTCTTGATTTTACATATTATACATACGTGTTCCTTTATTTCACACTACTTATTGGTTGAAATCTATATCAAGGCATTGGTTTACAACTATAATATTATCATTTTTAAAGAGTTAATATATTAAAGATGGCCTGTTTAAGGGAGCATATTTCTCCTGGCAGTTTGTATGACTAATTACTTCCTACCATGAGTGTATTTACACATACCAGTATTTTCTAAAGGCATAATAATGATTTATTGAGAACAACTGGACTTAGATTTATTTAATATGAAAACAGATAAACCTCATCACACTAATGGAAGAATGAACCAAAGATCCTTAATTACAAAATAACAGCTAACATCCTTTGTTTCATTATTCCCACTCATAACTGAGACTCTTCAAGCATTTCTACTGTTTTGTGACCCTCTGTTTTTATTTGTTCTGAAGTAAAAGGGTAAGGCCTGAAGTCTAAGGCCCTAATTATTGAAGTTAACTTATAGACTCCCTGCTCTAGTAGTACCTGTTTGTTTTATAGATAATGATTTACATTTTAATGATTAAAATTGTGAACTAGGCACTTGGTAAAGACTTTACACAGTTTACTTCAGTTAGTTCTTACAGTAATCCCATGTTATAGGAGTATAGATGTTGTTTCTATTCTCATTTTACAGAAGAGGAAACTAAGTCACACAAGTACCTTGCCCAAGATCACATAGCTAGTAAAGCATGGAGATGGAATTTGAACTTAAGACAGTATGGCTCCATTGCCTATGTAAAACTGTACATAATATTTGCCAGTTCAAACTGAAGCCAAGATATATAAAAATGTAATAAGAATTAGAAAGAGCATGAGCTTTAGAATTAGACATTACTGTCTTTCTAGCAGTGTGAATTTAAGCTAGTTTCTTAGCTGACTGGAGAGTCAGAATGATTCATAATTTCATTTCATTTTTGAAAGGAGAATCTCAAGTTTACAACACAATAAACATAATATTACATAATTGCATTTAGTAGTTTAAACTAGTCTAAAAAGGTAATTCACAATGGATTTTATTGGTTATAATTATCACTTGAAGTTACTAAAATGTTTGAACTACTAATCAAAAAGCCTCTCAAGAAAGAAAAGTTATTGATCAGATGGCTTTATTAATGCATTCTACCAAACATTTAAAGACTTAACACAGTCCTTTTCAAGCTCTTTTAAAAAATTTGAGGCCAGAATTACCTCAGTATCAAAACCAGATAAAGACATCACAAGAAAATTACAGATCATTATCTTTTATGAATATAGATGTAAAAATCCTTAACAAAATATTAAATCCAACATTAAAGGTATTATTACCCATGACCAAGTAGTATTTAGCAAAGAAATGTTAGGTGGTTCAATATTTTTTAAAAAACAATGTAATACATCATATTAATAGAACAAAGAGAAAAAAAACTCACATGATCACCTCAATTGATATAGAAAAGTCATTTTACAACATCCAATATTTCATGACAAAAACTCATAAAGCTGGGAGTAGAGAGAAAATTTCTACAAATGATAAAGTGTACTTATGAAAACCCACAGCTAACATCATACTCAATGGTGAAACATTGAAAATTTTCCCAAGATGAAGAATGAGACAAAGAAACCCACTCTCATCACCACTGATAGTCATCATCATACTGGAAGTTTTAGCCAGAGCTCTTAGGCTATTAGACAAAACAACAACAACAACAACAAAACAACACAGAAATCGGGAAAGGAAGGAAGAATGGAAGGAAAGGAAGAAAGACATGCAACTGGAAGAAAAGAGATAAAACTATCTTAATTTTCAGATGACATGATCCTATTTATACATGTAAAATCACAAAAATTCCACAAGAAAGCTACTACAGCAAATAAATGAATCCAGTGATACTGGAAAGTATAAGATCTACACATGAAAATCAGTTTTGATTCTGTACACTAGCAATGGATAATACAAAAAGAAAACAATTCCATTTATTATAGCATCTAAAATACAAAAGCAGACTTAGGAACAAATCTAAGAAAGTAAAAAGTATAAAATTATAAAACACTGCTGAAAGAAATTAAAGAAGACCTAAAGTAATGGGGAAAAAATGTGTTCATGGATAGGAAGACTTAATTGTTAAGATATTGATACTACCAAAGCAGTCCACAGATTCAATATAATCCCTATCAAAATTTCAATAGTCTTTTTGGCAGAAATGGAAAGTCTGATACTCATACTCATATAGAATTGCAATTCATATACAGTCTTAGAAGGATAACATTGGAGGACTCAACAATTCTTGACTTTGAAACTTACTACAAAGCTAGTAATTGAAACAGTATAGTACTGTCATAAGAACAGATATAGACCAATGTGATAAAATAGCCCAGAAACATATCCTCATATATACACATTGATTTTTTAAAAAATCCTCACCTGAGGATATTTCTCCATTTAACTTCAGGCAGAGTGGGAGGGAGGGAGAGAAACATCTACATGAGAGGGACACATCAACTGGTTGCTTCCCGCACGACCCCAACCAGGGCTGGAGACCAAACTGCAACCAAGGCACGTGCCCCTGACTGGAATCGAACCCGCGACTCATTGGTCCACAGGCCAATGCTTTAACCGCTGAGTCAAACCAGCCAAGGCTAGTCAACTGATTTTTGACAAGAGTACCAAGGCCATTCATTGGGGAAAAAACAGTTTTTTCAACAAATGGTGCTAGGAAATCAGTACACAAAAGAATGAAGTTGGATTCTTACCTTACACCATACACAAAAATTGACTCAAAATGAACCAAAGAGCCAAACTTACAGGCTTAAACTCTGTAGCTTTTAGAGGAAAGCATTGGGGAAATCTTAATGATACTGAATTTGGCAGTGACTTCATGAATATGACACCAAAAAGCACAGGCAAGAAAAGAAAAAATATATATTTGACTTCATCAAAGTTAAGAACTATTGAGAATCCAAGGACACTAATATTTAAAAACTGAAAAGACAGGCTAAATAATGGGAGAAAATATTTGCAAATCTTATATCTCACAAGGGGTTAATATCCAGAATGTAAGGAATTGCCGGGGGATACTCAATGACAAAAAGCAACCCAGTTAAAAAATGGGCAAAGGAGTTGATTAGACAATTTTCCAAATATATAAAAAGGCCGATGAAAGCATGAAAAGATGACTGCTATAGAGTTTAAGGACAAAGCTTTTGTTTATTTTTTATCCTTATCTGAAGACTTTTTCTCCATTTTTGTTCAGATAGAGTGGAAGGGAGAGAGAGGATGGGGGGAGGAGGGAGAAATTGATGTGAAAGGGACACATCAAGTGGTTGCCTCCTGCTTGACCCCAACCAAAGCCGGGAACCAATGGTAACCAAGGTACGTGCCCTTGGCTGGAACTGAACGTGTGACTCATTGGTCCCTGGGCTGACACTCCAACCGCTGAGCCAAACTGACCAGGGCAAAGGCAGACAAAGTTTTGTTGTTCTAAGTTGGGTTAATTTATTATTTTTATATGGGCAGTCAGTAATGAATGATCAGTTGCTGTGTACTAAGTAAAATTTTAATGATTGTTTACAACATGCTTTTAAAAAAATTTATTTTTTCTAAGCTGGTAAGTTGGTTCACACTGGTTCTGAACATATCAGAAAAGAGTTCTTCATGACATTGAATTCTGCTAAAATCTTAGAATTCATGAAAATAGGAATATTTTCATCTATGAAGCCTCTGAAGTTTTTGTTAAATGTGACTTTAATGAGCAGGAAAAGATAATGTGAACTGATTGCTTTTCTAACTAAATTTGTGTAGCTTATTCATTAAGAAAATGGGTTCTGGAGCTAGCCTACTTGGATTTGAATTCGGGTTCCACTTCTTACTAGCTGTATAATCTTGAGCGAGTTACTTAATATTGTGTCTCAGTTCTTCCCCTTTAAATTGAGTATAATAATATACCTACTTCACAAAATTGTATTAAAACGAATAAAATATGCAAGTGCTTAAAACAGTGCCTGACATAAAGTACTAAATAAGTGTTAGCAATTATTACGTGTGAGAATTACAACACTCATAAATTGATAATTGGTATTTTCAATTTTTATTATAAATGTTTCTTATATAGAGCGTAAGTGTGAGTTTGAGTAAATAGGCTGGGATTAAAGGGAGGAGAAAGTGGTAATATAAAGACTCTGAAACTGAAATAGGAATTAGAAAAATACTATTCACTTGCATCCTGTGTTTTATATAACCTTTCAGGAATATCGTTAATAGAATCAAAATCTAGGTCTTTGGCAGATTGAGGTTATCAGTCTTCTTTCTTCTCTCTTCTCTCTCTTTTTTTCCTCTCTCTTCCCTCTTTTCTTCTTCCCTCCTCCTTCTTCCTCATCTTCTTTGTATATTGTATGTAGACAAAATTTTAATAATGTAATATTAATGATGGAAGCCCCCAAATTATATTTTTGTATTTTTCTTTCAGACCATGGTTTCAGAGGAAGAGACACTGAAAAATCTATGCAAGAATAATTATTCAACTTCTCATTTTTGTGTCAAAACACCAAAAAAGGTAACATATATTTACTTCAGAAAGCAAATTTCAAAAGCTGGACTTTATTTTTTATAATTAATCATATTATGATCTTATTTTGTTTTTAGAACCCTTCACCTCTAACAACCCCTGGATCCACGCCAAAGTTTGGAGCTATGAGGAAAATGCAGGATGACCGTTGGGCTGTAATTTCTAAAATGGACAGGAGAAAAAAACTAAAGGAAGCAGGAAGGCTCTTTGTTTAATTTCAGAAAATCAGTGTGATTAAGGAGGCTAATGACATAAAATTTATAGTTAATTTTTTCTCACTTTATAAAGAGCCAGACTTTTTCTGAATTGAGACTTTTTGATATCTGCATAAATTATTTATGTTTTTTTTTTTTGTATTTTGGTCTTAAATGTGAAATAACCACATTATCTGAAAATTTGTAATTGTATTCAGATAATTAGATAATTTTGTTTTTACCTTCTCTTGTATTCATGAAAACTGTTTTGGCTAAGTTTTCAAATTGTAAAGTTATAGCTATTGAATGCTAGGAATAGATTATTGAGATTTACTCTTAATTCTTTACTATTAAAATATTTTGGATGCAAATAAATGCTTCTCCTTGATTCTGTGAGGTCATCTAGACAGCCAATCAATATTTTGATATTACTCACTTTTAAAATCTCAAGCTCATTTTAGCCAATGTTTACAGTTCTGAAGCAGCTTTCCCGTTTATAAAATTGACCATTTTTTTTCAGTTGCTGGAAAAAGGGCTATACCAGTATGACTTCCTAAATTACCTCATTCATTCAATGTTTATTAAACAAATATTTATGGAGTGTCTACTGAGGGTCAAAGCACAGTTCTAGATACTGGGATACAGCAGTGAACAAAACAAAAATAAACCCTCTGTTCTAGAGCTAACATTTTAATGAAGGAAATAGACAATAAACAAAATAAATAAGCAAAACATACAGTATATTAATTAATGATAATTGCTAAGGAGAAATAAGACAGGGAAGAGTAAGTGTTACAGAGTATGAAGGGAGTTGAAATTTTATGTAGGGTGGCCCTCTCACTGAATGACAGTTGAATAACACGTCTGTGGCTATCTGGGGAAAAACGTTTTTGGCAAAAGGAACAGGCGGTACAAAGGCCCAGAGGTGGGGGTATGCCTAATATATCTGGGAAGTAGCAACTGTGGCTGGAGGATAGTGTGCAAAAGGGAGAGTAGAAGGAGAAAAAGGCTCGATAATAGGATGGGGAGTTTGGGTGGGCAGATTATGTAGTGCTTGTAGGCCACTTTAAGAGCTTTGGCTTTTACTCTGAATAAGATATGAAATATGTAGATTTTTTTGAGCAAAGAAGAGCCATAATCTGACTCACTCATGTTTTAGCATCTGGATCTTTCTTTCTGACCACTATATTGAAAACATGAAAAGGGGACAAAAGGCTAAAACAGAAAACGGGTTTGATAATGCATATGAGAGATGGTGGTGATTTGAACAAGGGTGTGAACAGCAGGGGAATAAAGTGGTCAATTTCTGGATTTATTTTGAAAATTAGATGTGGGATGTGACAAGAAAGAGAAAGGACCAAGGATAGCTTCAATATTTTTTACCTGAGCTGTAGTTTTGGACATGTTAGGTTTGAAATGCCCATTGGACATCCAAATAGAGATGGTAAATTGGCTTAGAGACAGGTCCAGGGTAATGGTATAATTTTAGAAGCCAACAGCATGTTTAAAGTCTTTGAAGTAGTCCAGGTTAGAGATGGGAAAATTTCCTAGACTGAAAGTTTCAGTTACAAACTTTAAGATTAGATCTAATACCTGTCCTAAGTAAAATATCCATAACTTTTTCACTCTACTAAAATGTCTCCTACTTCATGTAAATGTAACAATTAATGATGTCAAAGAGCAAGTTGCTTTGGTTGATATAAAGGTTAGAAATAAATTATTCATAATTCAGGCAACCTGAATTCAGTATAATTAATAGTCCACAGGCTTTAGTAGTACATCAAGAACTTTAATCAGGGAAGGTCAGCTGTGGGTTAGAAATAGGAAAAGACAAACAGGAGACAGATAAGAAAATATTTTTGAAGTTATCAAATCATGGAGTTTAGAGCTGGAAGGAACCAAAAAGACCATTTTATTTCAACAGATCAGTAATTTGAGGCCTATAAAAGGAAAAAGAAAAGAAAGTTTTAAAAAATGGCTTAAATTCTATATATACATACTTTACAGAAATACATAAATTGTGCCCTCTCATTTTTCCCCTTTTTCTTTCTTCCTTACCCACTCTTGTCTCTTCTCCACACACATCAGGGTCGCCCTCTACCAAATTCCCCTCTACCTTAGATAACCTTTGAGAAGAACCTAGATTGTATCTCCCCTCCCCCCTTCATGATAGATAGATCTAGATATAATGTTTTTAGTAAGTTATATTTTTACATATACATACACATACAGAGTTCTCTGGTCACCGTTAATTACAAAAATGGGATAGTATGTATGCTTTTCAGAGTTTTACTTTACTCAGTATCTCATGGAAATCTCTCTAAAACATGATATAGTTCCAATTTATCCTTTTGATAAATGGCTGTGTAATATTTCATGATTGCACCATAATTTAGTTATCTATTAGTGTATGATAGAGACCTATGTCCAGTTCATCTCTCCTTTCAGCACATAGAAAATTACACTTCCCCTCCCACCTTTGGTGAGGCTGTAAGATAAGTTATGGTCAATGGATTTTAGGTAGAAGTGATGTGCACTAATTACTTTTGTGCCAGAGTACTTGATTGAGAGCGCGAGACCCTCTGTCACACTATCCTGTTACAGCAGTTTGTGTTGTTACAGACGATGCAAGCTCTGTCATCCTAGGTTTGTGAGTGAAAATTATGTGGAATAAAAGTTCCCCCATTAGCCCAAGAATAAGAAATAAGACTGTGGTGTTAAGCCCCTGAGAGTTTGGGGTTGTTTGTTATTGTTGGTATAGCCTGTTCTATCCTAACTGATATAATGGGAATTCTCTGTTTTCAGTTTTTTGCACTATCAACAATGCTAATATTCGTGCTTTTATTTCTTCTTTTTTTTTTTTTATCTTCACCCGAGGACATTCTTCCATTTTTTGTTCAGACAGAGTGGGAGGGAGAGAGAGGAAGAGAGAGAGAAACATCTACGTGAAAAGGACACATCGAGTGGCTGCCACCCGCATGACCAACCAGGGCTAGGAACAAACTGCAACGGAGGGACGTGCCCTTAGCGGGAACTGAACCATGGTCTCTCTGGACCACAGGCTGACACTCTAACTGCTGAGCCAAACCAGCCAGGGCTGTGCTTCTTCTTTTTTTAAATTTTTTATCCTCACCCGAGGACATTTTTTCCATTTTTTGTTCAGATAGAGTGGGAAGGAGAGAGAGAGAGAAAAACATCAACGTTAAAGGGACACATTGAGTGGTTGCCACCTGCACGACCCAACCAGGGCCAGGGACAAACTGCAACTGAAGTATGTGCCCTTAGTGGGAACTGAACCCTGGTCTCTTGGGACCGCAGGCTGATGCTCAAACCGCTGAGCCAAACCGGCCAGGGCCAGGGCTGTGCTTTTATTTCTGTAGGATAAATTATTAATTTTGGAATTCATGGACCTATAAATATATATTAAAAGTTTTAATAGATGTTGCTTAGGAATGATAGTAGAAATATGTAATCACTGGTATGAAAATACTTATTAAATGTAAAAATCATTATGTATGTAAAAGTTGAAAATAGGTTTTATGATAAAAATATATTCTACATCTCTCACATCAATCTCTCTCTCTCTCTCTTGACTGGAGTCGAACCTGAGACTCTTTGGTCTGAGGCCTAACGCTCTAACCTCTGAGCCAAACCAGCAGGGCACATGCCGGTTTTTGGTGGACATTCATTTTCAATTCCTTTGCATAAATATCCAGGAGCACAATTTGCTGGATTGTATGATAAGAGCATGTTTAGTTTTATGAGAAATTGCCAAACTATCTTCCGAAGTCGCTATAAGCATTTTCACCAGCAATTTATATTGCTCCACATCCTCACCAGCATTTGATGTTGTCACTGTTTTGGATTTGGGCCGTTCTAATAGGCGTGCAGTAGTATCTTACTGTTTTAATTTTCTTTTTTCTGGTGCATATGATGTGGAGCATCTTCTCATATGCTTATTTGCCATCTGTATGTCTTCTTTGGTGAGGTGCCTGTTCAGGCCTTTTGTCCATTCTTAAATCAAGTTTTAAGAGTTCTTTGTATATTTTGGATAACAATTATTTATCTGATATGTCTTTTACAAATATGTTCTCCCAGTCTGTGTCTTCTCATTCTTTTTTTTCTTTTTCTTTTTTATAATCCTCCCCTGAGGATATTTTTCCATTTAGCTTCAGATAGAGTTGGGGGGCGGGGCAGAGAGAGAAACATCGATATGAGAGAGACACATCAACTGGCTGCCTCTCGAACAACCCCCACCAGGGCCAGGGAACAAACCACAACCAAGGTACGTGTCCTTGACTGGAATCGAACCTGCAACTCTTTGCTCCATGGGTCAGTGTTCTAACTGCTGAACCAAACCGGCCAGGGCATCTTTGACATTAAGGGCTTTTTAGCTATACTTTCATTTTTAGTGGTTGGTCTAGGATTTGCAATAACTTATCACAGTTTACCTTCAAATACTATTATGGCACTTTACATATAGTATAAGAACCATACAGAAAAATATTTCTATTTTTCATTTCTGTCCTTTGTTTTATTCTTGACATACAGTATACTTCTACATATGTTATAAACCCCACAATACATTGTTATTTTTATTTTAAGCTTTCAATTGTCATTTTTTAAAGTTAGGTGAAATTCATATAATACAATTAAGCACTTTAAAGTGAATGATTTTCTGGTGTTTAATACATTCATAATGTCATGCAAGTATTACTTTATCTAGTTCCAAATCATTTTCCTCACCCCCCAAAGAAAACCCTGTACTCATTAAGGCCCCCGAAGGAAACCCTGTAATCATTAAGTCATTATTCCCTATTTCCCACTTCCCCAGTCCCTGGTAATCAGCAGTCTACTTTCTGACTCTATGGCCTTACCTATTTTGTCTATTTCAAATAAATGGAATCATACTATAGGTGATCTTTTGTGTCTAACTTCTTTCACTTCAGTTGTTTTTTATACACACATGTAGTGAAGGAAGTTAACTGCATTATTTAGTTTATTTTTCCTTGGTGACCACAGATTAATTTGCTAACAGAATTCTTTATTGATTTTTACATATGATCATACTATGATTCTTTTAAAATAAAAGAACAAAAATACTGAACAAAAATAAGAAAAGTTAAAGTAATTTTTGGTGAGATTAATAACATTGCTGATTAGTTGCTGAGAAGTGGTTACACATATTATTGTGAGTACAGTTAATACTGCTCATATTATTCAGCCAGAGAAATAATATCTAATTACCAAGAGGTTATATAAAGTAACAAAAATAGAGTGAATGATATACTAAGGAATAGAGAAATATGTTTTGATATACAGGTAAGAATACTTGATACTGATCTTTTATAACACTATGAATTTTATTACA